CATGCATTTTTGCAAAGTATGCAATTTTTTTTAATCCTAATATACATAAAGCATTACCTTTTAGGGATTCTCTTCCTGTTAATGTTTCTCAAGAAGGTTCTTTTGGTTTTATTTTTTTTAAATCATCTTTTTTTTTTTTTTGTGTGTGTGTGTGTGTGTGTTGTGTCTGTGTAACATTATTGTATAGTACCTGCTTTTTATCTCCAGCAATAAATTATTTTTTTTAAGAAAGGAACTTCTTTATTTCTTTCCAGTGAAGAATTACATACCGAAACTCAAGCAAGCATTATCTGCTCAGTTAAAGTATACAGGTACCCATACATCTTAGCACCTTACATAGCCAGTTTTCTTCAAATGATTATGTACTTTTTGGAATACTTAGTCTGTCTGATAGTTCATGAACTGTATATCATGGATTTTTAGTGACAACTTCTTTTAATTGGTCTTTTTTACCTTGGTCATTCAAAGCGGACATCATCTTCAAGGTTGAAATTTCTGCACTTAAACTTCTCAAACGATCTTTGAACTGTATCATTAGAAATAGCACTTTATCTATATAGAACATATTTTAAAAGCTGCATGACTACCATTTATCCTTTTTTTAAATAAAAGAGTATAATATGATTGAAACAAAATTTTGATTTCTCTCTTTTTAATTCTTAGCACTTCATTGAAATAAAAATTATGCCATATCACAGGCTAGAATTAAGCAATTTGAGCAGAAAAGACCATATTTAAACACTTATTTTAAATATGGTCACCCTTAATCAGGGGTAACAAAATAGTAAGAAAATGCCCTTTGATTTGAAAAAGCAGCAGAACTTTTTCGATTAATTAACATAATCATGAGATAAATTACACAGAAATAATATCCTTCTATAGTGGTAAACTTTCTCACAAAAAAACCACAAAAAGTATACTTCAATTTTTTAAACCACTCTATAGGAAGACATTAATTTTGTGCAATTTTTCATTTTCTGGTTATTTAATTATACTCACAAAACATTTTGCATGACATTAATAATAATTATCAATTAATTTTTCAAATCTATAATCTGTAAAAAGTATAAATATATATAACAAGAGAGCAAGAGAGTTCTGTTTCTACTTAAGTACTGATTCACCTTCAGAGTTTATGTACTATAGAATTACTTCACTTTGCCTTAGCAATGTTTTAATATTAGTTGCTTATGCGCCATAAATATAAGACCATCTGATTATTTTTCTCTCCAGTTATTAGTTCAAATTTAGTACTTTTAATATTTCAAGTAATTATATTTTGGTTAGCAATTTGATAAACAGGCAAAACTTGTACAGAAAATCACCAATGCTCTACTAGTAAAAGCTTAACTATTGTAAATGTAGCAATATTAAAATTTGGGTACTATTCGGTTTCCTAGGGCCGTAAAAAATCGCCAAACTATTGTTAATGCCAATGCTGCCAAAAATAATTGCGGCATGAAAGGAAGTATAATAGTACATAACTATTTAAGATTGATGATTTAATTTAGATCAAAGGTTAATTTCATATAATACTTTTTTATTATTATAATTTATATGAAAAAGGCTAAACATGACTGAATGTAAGCATAAGAGTAAATAACTATTTCAGATCATTATTATAATTTATATAAAAATTGCTAAACATAACTGAATGGATGCCTTCATCGCTATTTCGCTACCGACTTATATCGCTAAAAGCATAATTTCATCTCGCTGATTGTTCAAATGTAATTTTTCTATAATGAATGATGCCTTTTCTTTGAAAATATTCTCGGTAAAGTGCAGAATCGCTCACTTATTTGTTTGCCGATTTTTACAAGGGTAAAAAACAATTGGATTTTTGTAAATTTTCTTTTACTTTTTAAGTGAAAATAGGTTGATGTGTACATAGATAAAGTCAAGAGTGTGCGCAGTGCCATTTTTGTGCAATTCTAGGATCTTTTTTAAAGTGAAAATAGGTCGATGTGCACATGGATACCGAGTATGTGCAATTCTTAAAAACGCGTCAAGCAGTGGGTGATTCTGCACTTTACCCAAAATTCTATGGCAGACTTTGGCTGACCTTTGGAATATGGTAACAGGTAGTTTGACAACATTTTGGAGGCGATAAAGGTTACTACCTAGGACTTTGGGAATAATGTGAGAAGTACTCAGTTCCGATTATGCATTATTTTGTGTGAGGGAAATGAAAGATCATGAGATATGTCATGTGACATTAATGGACAAATAAATTACAGTTCTTTAATCGGAAAAGGGGATAAATTTGGAAAAACATCTGTAGCACTATAGCTGCATTTTGTATTAAGCTTCATTGTGTGTTGTGCGAAATAGTGTTGATTAATTTTTGGATCGCATGGCGCTATCTAAAGTGAATTCAAAATTTTTTTTTAATGCATTTATCTGATAATTCAAAAGAATTGGTTGAATGGTATACGAGTGTAGGATTAATTGCGGATAAGTATGAATGTCCAACATGTGGGAATAAAATGAGATTGTGTGAAAGGAAGGATATTACAGATAAGTTTCGAATGGCGGTGCAAGAAATCTGGTGAAAATGGACATTTTGTGAAACGGAGTGTAAGGAAGGATACGTGGTTTGCTGAAAGTAGTTGAGTATGGGTGAAATTTTATTAATTTTATTACTACTGGGTAATAGACTGCCAGTTGACTACTGGATTTTGGATTTAGAAATTAGCAGTAGTACTGCAGCCAATTGGAACTCTTTCTGTAGGGAAGTGTGTGTGCCACGTAATGAAGATTCTGAAGAAGATTAGGTAAGTTAGTATTTTTAATCATTTGAGGATATTATTTTAATGCATTGTTCTAAATGTAAGGAGTAAATAAATTAATATGGTATTATTGGAAAATTGTCATTAGCAATGATTTAGTTTACAGTAATTAGGATTGTAATCTAATTTTTATTAATTTAATGTATGTGCTTATTTATTTTTAAGTAGTGTTTTTTAATTTAATTATATTTTAATTTAATGATCGTGATTTTACGAGTTATATGTTTGTAGTATTTTGGAATACGTTTGAGTAGTATACGTTGAGTATTTTCATGCATTTTCGTGAAATTTTTTTCTAATTTATGAGAAAAAAGCAGTGTACATGGATATAGTGAAGAGTGTGCGCAATGCCATTTTTGTGCAATTCGGGGATGTTTTTTTAAAAAAATAAGTCGATGTGTACATAGTTATATTTTATTAAATGATAGTTATTTTTGTGAATTTATGTTTGTAGCAATTTGGTATACGTTTCAGTTGAAGTAAACATGCATGGAAATAATTTTAAATATTTGACACTAAGTATTTGTAACCATTTTTAATGTTGCGGTATAAATTCGTTGGTGACATTTATAATATAATAGATAATTTAGAGGTAAAAGTTTTTGGATATTTTATTTTTTTATACGTGGAAATGTTCATCCTTGGAAAAGTTATATACTTTTTCGCAATCAGGTAATTTCATATATGTTCTTTTTACTGGATTTAAAGATTCACAAAATTTTCATGCATTTTCGTGAAATTTTCCTAATTTATGACAAAAAAGCAGCGTACTTGGATATAGTGAAGAGTGTGCCCAATGCCATTTTTGTACAATTCTGGGATGTTTTTTTAAGTAAAAATAAGTCGACGTGTACATGGTTTAGTGATATTTTAATTAAATGATAGTTATTTTGTGAATTTTATGTTTGTAGCAATTTGGTATACGTTTCAGTTGAAATAAACGTATATGGAAATAATTTAAACATTTGACACTAAGTATTTGTAACTATTTTTAATGTTTGCGGTATAAATTAGTTGGTGACATTTATAATATAATAGATAATTTAGAGGTAAAAGTTTTTGGATATTTTATTATTTTATACGTTGAAATGTTCATCCTTGGAAAGGGTATAATTTTTTCACGATCAGTTAATTTTTCATATTTATGTCTTTTTACCGAGTTTAAAGATTTCACAAATTTTCCTTTTTTTTGCATTTTTTTAATTTATGAGAAAATAGCAGTGTAGAATAAAGTTTTTGTGTAAAGTGGTTGCAATGCCATTTTTTGTTGAATTTGGGATGTTTTTTAAGTAAATAATGTTTGACGTGTAAATATGTTATGTGTATGTGCTATTCTGAAAAATGCACAAGGAGTTTGCGATTGTGCACTTTTTCCCAATTTTGCAGTTAATATTTGTCATGATTAAGCAGTTTTGTTACATAAAATTTCTAGCATAAGTGTAATTCGGCTAGTAGATTGTTGGAAAAAGTGTTGAGTAAATAAAAAGAAAAGAAACATGTCTTTACTTACATGAAGACAAAATGGTGGCGAAAAAAAAAATAGAGAGTTTCTGTAGCAGAGTTGGTCGCCAAATTTTTGCCAAAAAATCGCCAAGTTACCATAATCCTAAGATCAACCCAGACTTTTCGTCATGGGCAATACCCAAATTATTAAATCCATAGGATATCAAAAAATAATTTAAAATCAAAAAAAGGATTTAAATATTAAACTAGTATTTCAATGGTGTCTTAAGAAATATAGAACTATATAAATTACGCAATCTGAAATCAGCACATACGCTAGATTTGGCACACTGTTAAATGGTGCTCATTTGCTAGATTTGGCACTTTTGCGCATACATTTTTGCTGCAATTTTTTTACGGCCCTTGAAAGCGAACAGTACCAAAATTTGTAACAACATCAACATTATTAAACAGAAAAGCAAGTAACTTGTATTAATATTCCTTCTGTAAGTATAAAACTTGTATTCCATTGTGGTTCTATAAGCAAAAAAAAAAAAAATAAATAAAGATAATAAGAAATAAAGATACAAAGAAAATGCAAAACTAATATTTTTAATATTTTACCAGAAAATTATGAATTCAAATATTCAAAAATCTGAAAATAATTTCTAAAGTAATTTATGAAAACATTTACAATACAAAAATGAATTTTATCTTTAAATGAAACAAAAGCTTTCATAGTAATAAAAAATTAAATGTACATACCATATAGTTATTTTTCACACTTAAAAATTCAGTTGCAACAAGCAAGGCATTTAGTGTAGCTGCTCCACTTCCAATATTTTTTGCAGGATCTTCAATGCATAAGACAGGAACAAATTCTGATATTCGTCCTTTTCTTTTCAAGAACTTGACTTCTGATGATATAATGAAACATGAAAAATGCTAATTCATTTCATACATGCTTACACTGCAGAAAAGATAATCTTAAATACAAATAGCACTTATAATAAAATCCCACTTAACCACAGTTTATTTGATTGAAATGATGAAGAAAAACATCAGATCATTAAATTCTAAAAATCAGCTATTTTCAATTTTTTATACTAAACCTTTTCATAGTTGTATTCTTTGCAACTAAATGTATACAAAATGGCTCCACCTATACTATATCAATTTCAAAACTTGCTTACTGTAAAAAATATATTCAAAACATTTTCTAAAAATAAAATAATTCAGTCAAGATATGTTTTAAAAAAAACTTATATAATAATTCAGATACTCAAAATTTTTCTTGAGATTTTGGGACAATTATCTCCCTCCCCCCAAGAAAAGTTGACGCTACCATATATATGTGAAATAATGTGTGGAATGTGAAAACAATATCTATTTTTAAAGTTACATGTGAAAGCAACAACTGCTTTAAAAGAAGTGCAAACTATGAATTTCATAACAGAACAATGAATCAACAAAATTTAAAAAGTAAGAAACATTAATAATAAATTACTTACCTTTTCAGAAAATCCATTATGCTAATTTCATTATTGCTATTATTATTATTTTGATGATGCCTTTATTATTTATATTTTGTACACAGCAACTTGTTTTCACTTAGAAAAGCATCAAAGTGTTCCACACACTCTTTTTCTTTCCATGTACACCGTGACCTTTCTACGTTTAAAAAAAAGCAGAGAATTGCACAAATTCGGCACTGCAAAAAAAATTCTGATCTATAAAATACAACTGTTTACATACAGCCTCACTGGATTTGAATTTTTCCCTTCTCCACTGTTGGGTAATTATATGAGGTGTGACACGCACACACACACAAAAAAAGAAAAAAAAAGAGAGAGAGAGAGACTGTGTAGCTTGAAAACAGAGTGGAGTTGGCAACAACTGTTTTGGTGACATCACGCCACACACCTCCTCTATCCATGCAGCCAGTTTCGACTTAACCAACCATGCCAATGGGGAGTACTGCGTCATTGAGTGAACGTGTGCAGCTGCATTCTGCAAGAAAAATGTCTACCACACAATAAATCAGCATCAAGTTTCTTGTGAAACTTAAGAAATCAGCCATGGAGGAAACATCTCAAATGTTAACTGTGGCTTATGGGCATAAAAATTTCTCTCATGCATTCGTGTGTTTGAATGGCATAAGCGGTTTTCAGGTGGAAGAGACAGTGTGAAAGGTGGTTGTCAGTGGTCAGACTGTTAATCAACAATATTACATTGCAGTACTAAAAATACTTCATGAAAAAATTAGAAAAAAAGGCCACACTTGTGGCGACTTGGCGAGAAATTTGGCGACTTTGGCACTTGTGGAGTGATGGATGGCTGTTGCCCTAGGATAATGCACCCACTCACACGGCCCTACCCGTCAAGCAGTTTCTGACCAGCAAAAACATTACTATGATCCTCCTTATTCACCTGATTTGGCTTCATGCGACATTTTTATTTCCTAAAGCTTACTTAAACAGAACCCATTTTACCTCAGCTGAAGAGGTACAGGTAAAAACAGAGAATCTCCTGAAAGGAATTCCAAAAACCTTGTTCCAAAACTGTTACCAGCAATGGCAGCACTGAATGTAGAAGTGTTTGAATGTTGAAGGGAACTACTTTGAAAGTGAATAATGTCACGGGAGAACTGATTCTGGGTACAACTCTGATACACGCCCTAATTTCACCAAATTTGGCGATATGTGTTCTGTGCTGGTTTTTGGCGCAATTGCGTATTGTATTGCGTGTATCCACCTGTTGACGTTGAAAAATCTTTCGCTGGAAACTCGTTGGATTCGCATCCTGTGTCTGAGAAGATGGGAGGGAAAGATAAAATGGTAGTTGTTGAATTGAAGTTCGGCAAAAGGAAATATCATTTTGGCCATCCTGTTAAGGGGTAGTGGATATTTAGAGGTGTGGAAAGAGGGTCTGGGAGATTATTTTTTCAATGGCTGTACATGATAGAAGTAGGGATTTGTGATTTTATTTATTTGTGAACCATAGTATGAATTTTCTGGAGTGTGTCTGGCTGTCATGTAAATACAATAGTGATTACGTGGCAGCATGTTAAAGGCGGTATGAAATTGGTATTTCTGCCGTTCAAAAAAGCATTACTGCATGGTAAGTGCATTTTATTTTATTCTTGTTCTTATTTTGTAGAATGTTATGTTCATTGGATTATTTAGTATAAATTTCTGTCGTTATTGTTGTTTTCGAAACAGAACGCTGTGTACATGGTATTATTTGAAATTTGTTATTATGTTATTTTATTAAAGAGAGGTGTGTGTAGATCGTAGATTCGTTCCTTGCCTAAATTGTGCAATTCGTAGATGTTTTTTAAGTTTAAACAGGATGATGTGTACATGGTATTCTTTGAAATTTATTGTTGTTATGTTAATTTATTAAAACGAGGTGTGTGTAGTTCGTAAATTCGTTCGTTGCCTAAATTGTGCAATTCGTAGATGTTTTTGTAAGTTAAAACATGTCGCTGTGTACATGCATTCTTGTCAAATATTTTTGATTAGAAACTTTACGTTTTTGCTATCTAAATTTTTAGCTTAAATCGTGTGTTCAAAACGTAGTTTTTACATGTGCGAAAACCACGTTTTTGGAGACATTTTAGGCTTAAAGTTCGAAATGTAGAAAAAAAATTTAGATAGTAATATGGCAGTGTGAAGTTTCTCGCCAAAAATGTTTGGCGAGAAATTTGGCGACTTGAGGGCGCATATCAGAGTAGTTCCTGATTCTGTAAGTACAGTGATTTATTGGACCAGTCTCTTTTTGTGTGTGTGTGTGTGTGTGCGCCACACCTTGTACATACTTCTAAAGAAATTTCTTCACATATTTCTAAAGCAATGCAATGCTTTCTTTTTCGTCAATCAAATCTCCTATACCCATTATGATTCCTTACAAGAAAAAATAAATGTACTGATGCAAAAACAAACACTAATAAAAAAAATTTACCATCTGATTTAAAGATAGAAATTCATGCTCATCTACTGCATGTGTGCATACCTGGGTTGCCACATAAATACATTTGGTGGCAGATAATCAGAAAGAAACGAGAATTTTACAGATGATGATTTCTGTCATATTTTTGACATTTAGTATGTATTATTACAACAACAAATTGGTATTTATGTATTACCCTGTTGACCATGAAAATATTGCCAAGCAGTGTGATTTACTGCTAATTATGGATAAGCATGTTGTCACAACATATTCGTTAACAGCTGCACTTTTTTCTGATGTAATAACATTCGATTCTTGATAAGCTTCTTAAGTTTTTGTTCTTATGAACAAAAATATATTATTGCTGCATTTTTCTCTTGAGTTTTCAAAGCAATTATTAAAATATATAATTTGTCTTCTGTAGAACAGGAAGTAGTAGAATGAGATCTAACCATTAAAAAAAAAGGTGGGGATTGTATTAATGGATATGATATGCTCAGGGTAATATGGAGTATGGCTGACAAAACAGTAAAAGACTGGAATAATTACCTATGGGAAGTTTGTACTGAAAACCTTCTACACAGAGCATCCAGGAAAATCGGAGGGCTTAAATTAGTAGGAATTGAACTTTTTACGAAGCAAAAAAATTAAGTGGGTTAAATACTGATTATTTATTAAATAATGAGCTGTCAGTTCTTTCATAATTCTGCTGGTATGATTGGCACGTTTCATAGGATTTCCACTAACTTTCGTGGTTGATAGGATAATACATAAGTACCCATGAATTCTAAAGTTATGATTAATGTTTCATATTTTTAACCATCAAATATCAAGCAACAAAGCAGCACCACAGACACTGGAACTGTGAGAAATTTTTCGAAAGTCCCATCCTCTCCTTGCTGGCATCAACAAATGCTCTAATTTTGCAAATAGAATAGGATTACATAATAGTTTGAGCATCTTTGGTCTTTATGAATGCTAGTTTCATCGAGTTTTTATTCCTTACAAAAATTTATTTAAAGATGCCAGGATTAGTGCAACCTTTGCCATAAAATGTCTACAAAAAATAAATAAATCTAAAATAATTATTAAAAATAATAATATATAAAATAAAATTTTAATAAATACTTATTAAAAATAAACTAATTAAATATAATTAGTTAAATAAATTTCAGCAAAATAACCAATATTAAAATAGAAGGTACAACACTGATCTACTGCTATTTCTCATCCATTAACTCTTGACTGATGCTGTCCCATGAATTTTTAGAAATTCGTAGTCACAGGGTTAAAAGCTTGAAATTAATATATCACTAGGTAAATCTTTTCCTATATTTATCATACTAGCTGCTTCTGCAATAAAAATTAAAGTATTATGCGTTCAGAACAATGTCTGAAAAATCGCATTTTACAGACTGTAGCAGAATTATGGTGATTTGAACATTGTCTTTTTACTAAAATGAATGGTTATTCATGTGAACATAGTGTACTTTAAAGAAAGCGGCACGAAAGCAGTAATATTAGATTTGTTCCTCAAACATAGGACATAAAAACATCCTGCATACACAAATATGCGTTTAGGGGTTTAACAAAGCGGGTTCAAAATTCAACAATCTCGCTGACTTACAACTGATCGTAATTACATCATACAACGAAAAACTTCTACTTTTCTTAAATTTAGAAAATGTTTTCAAGTCTTCTTTTTACTTATTTCTATCTTTCTTATTTTACTATGTATATTCAGTACGAACCTGTTTCGACTGCTCTCACAGACGACAAGGTTGGGCATGTAATAACTATGATACTCCAATTTTTTATCATGTTTACATTCAGTTACTTCGGCTACCGAATTTCTTTAATTTAATCTTTTTCCCGCCGAATCTGCTGTATTTTATTATGGCTGGAGTTACGGGTAGTTTGTCCGAAGTGAATAATCCTCTTGTTACTGAAATGAATTTACAATAATATTAAAACTTTTATTTTACTTTTACTTTTTATCATATTGATTTCATAAACATAAATGTGCCTTGTTTGTTTTAATTATTTTTTACATATTATAATAGTAATCTCTTTATTATATTTATCTGAATATTCTACTTGTTTACAAAATAAGGCTTTAATGCTATCACAACCGTGACGTTCAAATTTCTCATGCTCCTGAATTTTTGAGGTTGTATGCTTTTTTTCATTTCGTCATCTTGAGTAAATGCTGCTTTATATGTCGAATAATTTAATGTATTTTAATCTTTGTGTTTCTGATTAAAAATTTTAACAGTAATATAGTTTACCTCAGTTAGTGTATTTCCATACAAACTTGTAAACGCTTTCGCGCATCGAAGTAAAAACTGTCTTATCTTAGGCATTTTTCAGCTATTGATTTTGCGTCATATATCATGTATATATTTATATAGATAGAGAGAGATAATTATACTTTTTATTAAAGCAAACAATAGCTTCGTAGTGAAGTAGTAAAAGTTATATGCATTCTAGTATGGTAATTATATACCAAAGTGATATGATTACCAGTGTAATTTTGTATTTATACGCTTGCATGATGTTTTTTCTCTGAATTTTAAGAATAAGATTCCAAAAATACTAATGCCAAATTTGTTTAAATAATATTCCAATTCGACTGTTGCTTGTTATCAAAACTAGTATAAAAATTTACAATGTGCTCTTAATTGAACATTACTATTAACTGTATGTATTATGTGGCATATATATATATATCTTTCCTATTATAAAGGTTTTCATAAAGCTATTACATTGTTCAATTTTGAAGTATATTAAAGTTTGAACCACTGTCATTCAAATGCATAAATTGGAAAATATTTGAAATTTTTAGTGATACATGAAAGATCCTTTGTATTAATATTTTAAAACATGGTTTAGCTATTTGGGAGGGGGGAGAGAAACAGTTTTACATTTTTTATTATTGTTGTTGTTGTGGAAATTATAATACTATCCTTGAGATGCATTGAATTGTAAGATCTGTCTCTTCTATTCCACATAAACTAAACTAGATCCTACAACGAACCTGGCGAATTCTCACACGGGCGTGAAGGATATACCAGCACAGAAGAAGGGGGAAAAGTAACCCTTTATTAATTCAACTCTAAACAGAAAAGCACGGAATTCATGCTTTACAATAATACCGACCAAGTGTAGTGGAATTTAAACATAGTATATAAATCAATTCAAATCTAAAATAGAATAGTGATGGATTAGCACGTTAAGTTACGTCTAACTTAGATTCACTCAATAAAAACCTAACTGGCGTGACAATTATATTAAATGGCCAAGGGGTGTACTATCATAACAGCGAGATAGCAACGAAACATGCTCAGAATAAACTGAGAGATTCACCCATTTAAATACTTACTTCACTTAACTTTAAATTTACATCCTGGCAAGGAAATGTGAGGGGAAGTTGAGGAGTTCAGAAAAGATATCAAACTTAGTGATTTGTTATACAAAATAAGGAAAACCCTAGAGAATCATTAAATAAAAGTTTCTGTTTCTTGGTGATAGCTTCCTTTATAAAATCTGTAATTAAAATTAGTGTTGTGTACATTATAAATAGCCTAGATTCTAAAGCTGTATTGTAATATTTTGGTGAATTTGGGTTTTTAATCATGATGATATAAAACGCTTGTTAATTTATATACTACACAGTACATTCATTTGTTTCTATAACTATTTAAATCCCCCCTGCATCAGTAGTTGCTCCTATTCGATCCAGAAAATGTTTTTTTTTTTTTTGTCGAAAAGACCTTCATTTACAAAATGTTTACCTAGCTAGGGATGCAATATGTCGAGGGTGTGGTAAAGAGGGCCATTACCAAAAGGTATGCAAAACCAAACTTGTACGCAGTACTACTAATTCCACAGTGGTAGTTTATACATTAGCATTAGCTTCAATGTTTTCTCACTGTCTTGAAAGGTCAATAACTAAAGTCCTAGTAAATGGAGTTCAGCTGAATGCCTTAATTGATACCGGTAGTTCACTAAGTTTTTTTAAATCAATGTTTTGTAAAAAAATGTCAAATTCAAGTAAAACCATATTTTGGTAGAATAACCATGGCTAACTCTTCTCTAACTTCAGATGTTATAGGCTGTTCTTTAGTTAATATCAAATTGCAAACCCATGTGTACCCTAATGTAGAGGTATTAATTATGAAGAATTTCTCTGTGCAGACTTTCTTATCAGGCATGATTTATTAAAAGATTATTCTTCTGTTGATAGAATTTAAAGGTGACAGACCACCTCTTAGAATTTGTTCATTAGCAATTGCTCTTGTAGCCCCTGTGTCATTGTTCTCTAATTTAATGCGTGATTGTAGGCCTATTGTTAAAGAGTCAAGACACCAAACTGAAGAAGACAAAATATTCATAGCTACTGAAGTATGTAAATTACTTAAAGACAGTGTCATTGAACCAAGTAATTCTCCTTGGCGTGCACAATTTTTGTTATGAAAGAAGAACATCATAGACTCAGAATGGTTATAGATTATTTGCAGACTATAAACAAATTTACTATGCTTGATGCTTACTCTCTTCCCCAAATTGAAGAATTGATTTTACAAGTATCAAAATATAAAATACAGTCGAATTTGATTAATTGGATCACCGAATAATCGGACCAGCCGCTTTTTCGGACCAAATCCTAAAGAACCAAAACAAATCCTATGTACATAAGCCTAATATTGTTCATTTATTTAGACTAAAATTCCTTTTAATTGGACCAAAAAATGTGAGAGCGAATAAGAAACAGAAGCCACAAGTCAGCCGCGTACAGGTGGTCTGCGACATATGGAAGGGTCTGTAGTTGCGACTCCCCAGGAAAATGCTTTACCAAGGGTCAGGAATTCCTTAAAGTACATGACAAAAGCAAAACTGGTGAGGGGTGAACACGTGCACCATTTTCTTTGACCTGCGCCTCCGAGTTTCGAGGAAGTGAACAATCGTGTGTCCGGCTCCACCTGAAAGGAATTCCCTCCTGTCAATCATGATTAAAGTTTACACGAGAAAGCTATCATTTTCATCACCTTTTTGGGATGATTTTAGTGCCAAAGCTTTGAATGGCAAGCATTTTATCTCCCTCTTTGACGTCAACATCTTGAACCGAAACACCAAGGTTTCTTCAGTCCACTTTAGTCAGTGAACTGTGCACGTGTCTCGTCTCCTCTGCCAAAATGCCACAACGGGACTTGACATTAGCTGAAAAAATTGGTTTTTTTGGATACGATCAAGCAACAACCACGAAACACTAGTCAGCATCGGTTGGTGGAAATAACCGAATTGGAAAAGACTACAATTTCGTGCTTGATAAAACAAGAGAATGAGCTACGAGAAGAATAGGTACAATGTGAAGGAGGAGGAGGAACTTCCAAAAACCGGAAGCTTGAGGACCCAGATGTCGATGAGGCCCTTAATGAATGGTTTGCCATTGTTACTGGACGATTTGTGCGAGTAAGTGGCCCAATATTAAAGTGCAAAGCAGAAGAACTCACTAAAAAGCTGTGCCACGATGACTTTAAGGCTACGGATGGTTGGTTGTCTCGATGGAAATCTAGATATGACATAAAATTCAAGAAAGCACATGGCGAGAAAGAAAGTACTGATAGTGCAAATGCTGAAGAATAAAAATCAACAAAACTGCCCGGGCTTCTTGAAAATTTTTCAGCAGATGACATCTACAATGCTGATGAGACTGGGCTATATTATCATGCTACATTGGACAGCTCGTTAAGTTACAAACATGTTGCACTCTCTGGCTCCAAAAATGCGATGGATCACGTAACTGTTTTGTTTTGTTCAAACATGTCGGGAACAGACAAGAAGAAGCTGTTAGTTATAGGAAAAAGCACTAAGCTTTGCTGCTTTAAAGGACTTCAGGTGGACAGTTTACCAGTTGTGTATCATGCGAACAGAAATGCGTGGATGACCTCTGAACTTTCTAAAGAATGGCTGAAGGATTGGAACAGAGAGCTACAATGCCAGTCGAGAAAAATGCTGCTTCTTCTTGACAGTTGTGCAGCACATCCTCATTTAGATTGCTTGATGAATGTCCAAGTGGAATTTCTACCTCCCAGGACCACAGCTTTGGTCCAGCCAATGGACTTGGGCATCGTAAAAAATTTGAAGACCCTTTATCGTGTAAGGTTGATTAATTACATCCTTGAAGCAATTGAAGAATGTTTTCTGACTTCATCGTCAAAAGCCAGCGACGTCAGTGCAAAGGTCAACATCTTAGGCTGCTACCACACGTCGGTTTGTTTTGGAAGAGCAACTGTTTGGAACAATTTTTCTGCTTTGTCACCATAGTCAGTCACCATAGATCACTTTGGGGCTCACACAGGGCAAACTAGTTCCCCATTACAAACAAGCTCATAGCATTCGAAGCTGATAGCTGATTGGTTGAAAACGAACAACTTGCAATTTTTTTGGAAAGGAAGGAAAAAGTCGCACGTCTTTCTTTCAATAATAAACCAGGCAGAAAAACTGTCTGAAACAGTTGTTCGTGTGAAACAAACGCCGTGTGATATGAGCCTTACCAGCAGTTACATTTGTGGCCGACAGCTGGCAAAAATTGAACAGTGAGACAATTCAGAACTGTTTTTCTCACTGTGGCTTTAAGTACTTGGTTTTGGACATGGATGTGGACATGCTCATTGAAAGTGAAAATGATGATTTACATGTTGAACTTCAACAAGTAGAAAATTGAGAACAATTTTTATCCATGGACAACGAGCTTCAATGCTACGATGAAAATGAAGATTACGACGCTGCAATCGTTGCTCGAGTTGCATCATAATAGGGTTTCCATAGCATTCAACTCCTCAGGTTACCATAAATGAAACAACAACTTAGTGATAATCCAAGGGGCACCCTTAAATCTACTCTAACATTTTAATGAATACATTGATTACATTTTGCATAGTGCACCTATGAAACTGGAGCGTTTTGATAAATTAGGTCATTCATTTAAGGGTAATAGTAAACAAACTAAATTTTAGATGTCAATATAAGTATATTTATACACTCTACTAAACAATAACTATCATAAGGACTATTTTGTAACATTTATAAACAATACTTAGTTTTATCTCACAGATTTAACTGGCTCATAAAAATACATTGAATATGCAGGTATTGTACTATATTTCA